AGTCAGGGGTTCATCCTACAGCAAGATAATGACCCAAAACATAAGTCTAAAGCTGGGCTTACACTGTGCGATTTTTGGCCCATTTTGAGATGATTTTTCAGTCGTGCGACCGTTTTGGTGATCGGCCCGATTCTGGCCTTCATCGTGTGCCGTGCATCATGTAGTATATGTGGGGTAACGAGAAGCGATTAACACCTCACGACCAGCTCCCGATCATCAATCGCTTGGTCCGACCGTCGTGAGAGTGTCACCACAGCTGCTCACACTGCGCACGCGCAAACACATAAATGTCAGTGAAAAAGACGGCGCAGCACGGCAGTGCAGCGTGTGATCTGGACACAAGCGATGGAGGCACTTGTAGAACTTTGGAAAGCTCATCCGAGCCTTTTCGATGTGGCCTCACAAAATTATCACGGACACAACAACCGTGAAAATAGTTGGATCTACACTGCTGCTCAATCACAGCTGCCTGATCAATGTTTTTCATTAGCAATTTAGCAAAGTTGATGGCGGTGGTGTGCGTGTCTGTGTGAGTGAAAGACAGAGAGGGAGAGTGAGCAACAGATTTTCTGGTATAACCTTCATTTTTATGGACGCATAGTGTGAGCACTCGGGTCGCATCAGAGCATCGGGCTGTATAGTGTGAGACCCTGCATCGTGACCTATGAACTTCTAACCCCTGCGAGTCAATCGTACAGTTTGAGCAGAAGCTGAATAACTTGACTGAAAAAAATCGCACAGTGTTTGCCCAGCTTAAGCTATGACAGAACTACCTCAGGAAAAAGAACAAAATGGTAAACTTTAAAACAGAGTGGCCAGCACACTCTCTAGACTTAAACTCCTTCGAGCTGGTTTGGGATGTACTGGACAGAAGAGTGAAAGCAAAGTAACCTACAAGTGCTACACATTTATGGGAACTTCTGCAACAGCTATGGGAAGAACATTTGATTTCTATTTTAGAAAGAAAGCCACATGTGGGTTCAGCTATTATATCTGCCAAAGGGGACTTTGATGATTCAAAAATGTAGAAAACATTTTGGTCTATAAATTAATTCCCTGGTTTCTTTTTTAACTCCAATTACTTAATTGTACTATGCTTTTATTTCAGAATGCAAACAGACATAAAACTGCATAATTTATTTATTTTTTTAAAAAAGGACAAATTGGATATGTTTTAAAACAACCAAATCTGCATGAGATTAATACCATGTTTGAATTAAAATATCAACATGCAACACTATGCCTTTGGACCACTTTTCTAAGGGTAATCGTCATACTATAAAGATTGTATGCATGTGTATGTGCTGCCTATTTCTTCTTGTCTTGATGAAAGTTTGTAGAAATAAAATGAAATATCTAAATCGCATATACAAATATTTTATACAAACCCACAATCATATAGATTTGTACATTTGACATGTCAGTTAATTACAGTATAGAATGTCAGACTAGAATGGTGAGTCAGAATATAAGCATACACATGTTTGCATGTTTCCTATCCCTGTGAGGACCATGCACTCACTGAGGGTCCTCAGTGTTTCTGGAACCCAGAAACAATTTTGATGTACAGTTAGGAGGTCAGGGGCCATTTCAGGATAAGCCTCATGTGATGTGTGGGTAAGCATTCGTGTCAAAATATGTGCACGTGTGTTCGTGTATGTCTGTTGGTAACATAGAAAGGACCACCAGGATTCAATGTGATGGCCTCCTGACATTTAACAGCAACTGTTTTCTGAAGTTCCACACAGAAAAGTAATTAATGACACACGCGCACACACACAGGGTAGCAGCTAGGCAAGTTCAACACTCGATAAGATCCCAAACTGCTCAAACAACACAGATATTAAAAGATATGTAAAAATATTAAAATGTCTGTGTGTACCTTGGTGAGAGCCTGGCTGATGAAAAGCAGCGCTGGAGTTGTAACTGGGTGCCTGAAGTCTGAGGTAGGAAACAGCAGGGCTGTCACCTTAAGGTAGATGAGCTTAAAAAAGAAGGAAATATACAAATGAAGGTGCAACATATACAATAACAAGTGTCTTTACATTAGAGAATTCATTTTATTAATCCTACTTTAAAAACATCTGTGACAAAGTCCAAGAAATAAGTCAAAGCATTCACTTAAATCCTGAACGTAATCAAATGTTAAACGTCTATTAAATCTTTTAAGAAAACAGTTGCACTTCTACACAGTCCTAGTTACATTTTGACTAATATCAGTTTGAACAGTGTCTGATTGTTGAGTTGCCAGAATCAGATGAGCAAAGAGAGGATCTGATAAAAAGTAAGATCATCCAGCTCTTCTTCAGTTCTTACCCCAGGCTCAGGGCAGCAGAGTGAATGATTCGCAGCATGCCTTGCTGGCTTTTACTGTGAGGGATGACTGAGCGACGGAAGCACAAATAACAGGCCTTTAAACAGATCAGCAGTCAAATCTCATTTTATTCCCCTTTTAATCACAGCAGTGGGTTAGTGAGCCATATTTACAGTGCAGATTGATTTTTCATCAAAACTAAATCAAACTACTATAGAAACTATTTAAACCAGGCTAAACTGTTCAGTGCAACCACTGTGGCCTACTCATCATCATACTCATCATCATAGCCTGACACACAATAATCCCCACAACAGGAAATGGGCCACTGCTCAATCCATCATTCAGAGACAATGATAATAAATTAACAGATTATATAGAGAGAATCTACCTGCTCTTTAGAAATATATACATTTTAGAACCAGTACTTTCAATCAGCCTCTCATGACTAACATGGCAGCATTACTCACTCACACACACACAATGCAGCTGAGTTAAAAGTTCTGTGTAGTGTGTTAAGAGGTCACGGTACAAGCACTGATCAAAATCAGCTGGAATGAAATCAAACTGTAAGGAGCTCTATCCACCACATGTTTGCTTAAAGATGAATCACTAGTTTTCTTTATATAACACTGGAAGGTCTTAACATTGATTCAAGCATTGATTCTACCTGAAGCGAGAATGGTGCAGCCCTACGAATCAGTCAGTCCCTGAATGAGCTGACATTTCTGTAATCTATAAACACCACGGTGAACATCAAACATTTACCACAATCAAAGTAAGTAATTCATACCATGTCTAGTGTAGGGAAAGCTGCGTGACCTTTGACCTCAAGCGTCTCTTCCATGCTGTGAGCGGCATCTCCGAGGATGCTCTGCATAGCCTTACAGGCTGCATCTGGAAACATCTGGCACAGAGCGTACACCTCGCTGCAGAGAGATTTGCAAAAGGTAAAGAAATGTATTTATGTCAAGGACTAAATATTTTGAAGCCTCTTTCTGAACTCACGGTATGAGCTTATCAATGGTGCTAAGTTCAGGTGGACTCCTAGTGGCCAGCTCTCCGATGTACTCCAACAGAAAGCCAAAAAGTTTCTGGAACAGAGAGAGCTCTGTGAAGTCAAATAACGGTGAAAGCTGCCAACTCATCACCCATGTGCATCCAACTCTGTAACTGTACCTGCAGTTTGAGTTTATTGCCTACAGCCAAACTGGGGTGGTTGCTCTTTTGAGTTCTGGCCACAATGAGGCGCTGGTTGTCAGAGGTGTGACCATGTAGCATATCCTTCAGATCGTTGTAGCTCTCAGGGGCTGTGAGAGGAAGAACAACAATACAGTATTGGATATTTTGTAAGGGAAAGAACTAACTATAACTAAACATGACACTAATCTGCCTTTTTTTTTTTAATGAGTAATAAATTCTGGTACCAGCAAATGTGTATGGGAGCTCTGCTTTGGCTGCCTCCTGCTGGGCCTTCACTTCCTCTTTGCTGAGAGTCTTCTTCGGCTTGGGGCTGGCCTCTTCCTCCTCCTCATTTTCGCTTTCTTGCTCAGACTCGAGATCTGAGTGGCCATCATCTTCACCACTTCCCTCCTCTTCTTCTTCCTCCTCCTCTTCTTCTTCTTCCTCAACTTCATCCTCCTCTCCATCCGATTCCTGTTCCTCACTGCTCTCGCCCTCTCCTTCTTCATCTTCATCTTCAGCCTCATCTTCTTCCTCTCCTTCCTCTTCCCCCATGTTCCATTTTCCATCCTATGCACAGGAATAACACATTAAGATAAAAATAAACAGTCATACTAGGAGGAATAACCCAAAGTAACAAAACTGTTCTGCATTGTGTCGTCTCACACCTGATAAGCCAGAGTCTTCTTGTCATGCTTATCCAGAATGAAGCCGTCATTGAGGTCATCAGCAGAGAAGTGAATCTGACTTTGTGCACCTTCCACGACTTCCTCTCCCATCATCCTCCTGAGACGGTCAGCCTGTAGAAAGATCAGATGATGGCAACTGGTCGTTATCAATTACTTCTCTAATTAAATTCACCATTAAAGTAAAATCTCAAGGCGATCTCAGGTGACTGTAACTCAAAACCCTGCAATCTGGAGAACAGCAAAGCTGCTTCTTTTGGAAAACCTGTACAGTTATTGGTTTCTGTTACATTTTCCCATGATTCCCAAACTTAGGGGAAAACTTTTGAAAGGAGAAAAACTAATCACAGATTCTGATAGGATAGGGAAGGGGTTAAGGATTACAGGTACTTAGATCTCACAAGGTTAAACCGCATTTGAATACTGCCTTTGACGTGACTGTCATAAGAGCAAGAAGCTACTTCTCCTGTCAAAATGTAAGAGCTGCATCGTATAAGGCTACAATGTGGCTTTCCAGTGTCTTTTCTACGTGGCTCCTGTTAGCTGAGAGCTCGATTTATTGGGACAGTGATGTCTTTGCATTAAAATGATGTGTCTATCAAGAGGTATTTTCTCTTTTTAAAGACTGAGAATAAAACCTGATTTCAATTAAAAAGGGAAAAAAAACAAAGAAAGATCAGGCGATTAACATCAAAGTGCTTAACAGCTGCAGACAACAAGGCAAATCTCCACAGAGCAAATGTACCTCGAGTTTCTGCAGCTTCTCTCTCTCTTCCTTGGCTAGCTCCTCTGGAGTTTTCATCTTCTCTGAGGGCTGAGCCTTCATCTCAAAGCCGAGCTCTCTGACCATCATGTCATATTCCTCCAGCTAGAAAACGCAAACATGAAGCAAAAGGTATTTATTACAAAAAACAAACAAACACACACACACACACACATCTGGGTGGAATGGTCTTTTTGCAGACTCATTTGTGTATTCCTACTTTGGGTTTCTCCTCCTGTTTGTCAGCTTTGGGCGTCTTTTTCACCATCAGAGACTGTATGTTCTTCCAGTCTTGATCCAGCTTCTCGGTCAGCTCCTGGGCCTCCTCTCTCTGCACCTGGCGTTCCCTCTGAGAACAAGCCCCAGACATCAGCCCTTACCAGTTTAGCAAAGTCTGTAATCTGCAACAATATGACAGGCAAAGGCAGCATTGGCCAAAATCCATCAGCAGGACCGAAGCCTTACCTTCTCCTGCTTGGACTTCTGGATGAGCTCCTCAATGAGCTCCTGCCTGGATTTTGCCCTCTGGCCTCCCTCCTCCTCCTCCCCCAATGCCTTCTTCCTGAGGAGACCACCTCCTCCTCCGAAGTGGGACGCAGTGAGCTCAGCTAGGTGTGAAAGAAAAATAATGTCACTAATAAATGCCAGCTCTGTCATCTATAATAACACTTGTGTTCACTCCAAGCTGTGGGCTGGGAATGAAAAAAGATGGGCAACATGTTTGGGAATATGCAGGAAAATTAATTAACATTAATTCCCCCCATATCAAGGTGAGCTTATCTGGAGGATAACAAACAGTGACTATTAAAATATCAAAGTATTTAAATGAAAATGGATTCAAGGTACAACAGGAATATAAAAACCATGTAGATGTGGAAAAAATCCATTCATTTGGCACTCACCAGACAATAGACCCTTTTCTTCTGATTCATCATCGCTATTCACAACATCATTGAATTTCTCCATTTCAGCCAAAGACTGGCCGTAATGAGTCAGCTCTTCCTCCTCATTCAGGTTGTACACGTCCTTCTTCTCATGGACGCGCTAATAATAAAATACAAAGTAACAGAAGGTGTAGGTTTGGTACATCTGTGCACAAGCCAGTTTATTTTCACTGTTTTAATTATGCAGCTTGGACAAAAGAAGTGACAAATCTTTGTCTGTAAGTCTAGTATTAACATGACCAGTTAGGTCAACAAGTATTTAAACACGGACGTGTTATGCTGTGATAGATTAGAAGTGAGCCAAGGCTGCAATGAAGAATAAACTGCATTTAGTTTATACAGGCTCTAAAGGAATTAGAAAAACTAAAAATTGATCTATCAGGCCTTTACTGAAGCCACCTTCAGATGCTGCGCAATTGTGGGTCTTTCTGTATCCAGTTTTCTCTTTAGTAAGTAAACAGCACACACAGATGGCATGAAATCAGTAGGCTATGTGACCATAATCAAAGTGTTTGCCTTCAGACAGTCTTGGGTGTTTCTGATGTTTCTTTTGGGTCATTATTAATCCACACTTTGAGGCACAGCACTGATTTTGCAGCATAACACTGGAAGCAGAAATGAGCGTTCTTGGCTTGACTAGATGGGCCGTTTTTCCTGCATCAAAGAATTCAATAATCCTCTATTTTACTCTTCTTCTGTGGTCTTCTGACCAGTCCAGAGCTGGCCTGTATACTTCCTCTTTTTAAGAATGCACCAGATTTTTGGTCACTTAAGCCTCGACTCTACTTCTATCATTTTTGAGTCCACTAGGGAGTTATGTAAATTTCATAGAAGCAGTGAATGGGTCCTCAAACCTGAGCTTTACGTTACAATGCACCATCTACGCATGCGGCAAACTTCAAAATAAGTTTGATAGGAACAACTACTCAGCTGTCATGTCTCCAGCTGTTTGTGTCCTTGTCAGATTGTATATTCAAGGCGTTTCTTTCACTTAGAGGTCTAGAATCAACATTTCAGGCCATAAGTAGGAAGTGACAGGACTTTTTTTTTTTTTAATTGGAAAAAAGAAAAAAAAAGTCTGAAATTCACAAAAAGTTAAATGCAATTTTTTTGTTAAACTTCTCAAGTCTGGACTTGAATCACATCATGACTGGTTTATAGCAAATCTAATGAGAGTTATGGAGGATGTACACACTGATTAAGTAAACGACTGATGCTATATCCACAATGATGAAAGTAACACACACAAAAAAGAAAGAAATCATGTTAATCACTAAATGCTTGGCTTATTTTATCTATTCTTTATTTCACAACCTGATGATCAATGTGTCCTTTCAGGCAGCAATAAACACATCGCATCACTGACCTGTCTCTCCATCGTGAACCTCTGGAGAATTTTGTCTTCGGGTGCCATCTTGGTGTCATACTCTCCAAAACGTCTGTCAATAAATTTGCTGCATCTGTTCTTCTGTTTGTATTCCTTCAGCAGGGTCTCTTTTCTCTATAAATTAAAAAAAAGAACTGCTTATTAATTACAAGCTGCCTAAACCCTATCAATTTAAAAAACAAAAAATAATAATCACACAAATTAGAAACAACAAATGATGAAGATTTTACTTTTCTTGGCACTTCTGCTTGTATTTAGACCAGTTCACGGTTCTCTCTGTTCTTACAACCCTCTCAGTGACTCCTGCAGAAAGTCCCTCTCCCAGCATGACTGTGTGAGCACCAGGCTTCACAGCACAGATAGTGTTAAATGTACAGCGAAGGCTGTGAGCAAAGGCTGCCAGAACAGAAAAGTTTGTGGCTCAAGTTCTCTGGATCTTTGGAGATTTTGGCTTAAGCAGCAGAGCTTATATACAAAACAGGTAAGAAAAGCCTTTAACTGTCAAGTTAAAGGTCAAGTTAGCAGGAAGTCTTCAGTTTAGGACTTGAAAACGGGAATCTTTCATACCATCAATGCAGGGACGCCGATGCCAGACACAAAGCATAAAAAGATATAGTTAATAGTTAAATTCATATATTATTTACACGATGTTTAGATAAATAGTTTTCAGCACTGACGGTCGCGCAATGCAGTGTAACTGGTCTTTCCAAAAATAGGAATACAATTTAATAAAACAGTACTGAGCATCAGCAAATCCCTCTAAAGTGAGCTCACACCTGAACACAAGGTCAGGTGAGTTCATTAAAGCATAATAGGGGCTGTCTCTTACCTTATTGACGGCTTTGGATCGAGATACACCGGGCAGACCCACATCATGCTTGCTTTTTCTACCGAGGACATCAAATTTCTTTCTGTTGATTTTCACCTCAAACGGGTTGTTTTTGATCTCAGAGGAGGTTTTGGTCTTTCGCACCTTGTCAGCAAGGCTCCTCTTCTTCGGCGCCTTCCCCATCTGTGACAAAGCAATGGCTGAGTTAACATTACTGTCTCTTCCCCTCCTCTGATTGTTTACAGCTTAGATCCTATGATAGTTAATTATATTTATTTACTTCCTGGGAGTCTCGCTTTTTTCCTGCGAGTCTCGCTTTTTTCCTGCGACTTCTACAGGATACATTTTTTTGTTATCGTTCTACTGGGCTAATGCTAGCTTAAAAATTAGCTTTTAAAGCATTCAGGTTCACAAAACAGACACACTTGCTAGATGAAAATGCCAAATGAATTAGCATACGATGTTAAATCCACAAGAAAAAATATTGGGCTACTTTCAGGACAGTTAGCTTCACTGTGAACCGTCAGCAGCTTGTAAACAAACTCACATTTTCACAGACAGGAGGTGCTCACCTTTTAGCCGCGTTGACGCGTCGGATTATTAAGTCCAGGCGGAACAAAAGATGAGGGGGAAAAGCTTCAGCAACACTAAATTCAAGAAATAATTGTTTAATATATCCCTGCCCACGTTGCTTCACTGAGTTTCCATTTCTTCCAGCGTGCACAGCCTAAGGTGAAAGTTCACCACAATAGAGCAGACATGAGGTACTTCCGGTGGAAAAGCTCCTACAGCGCCTCTAGAGTTTAAAGATGGAAGCTCACCCTTCAAAATCAAGAAGTAGAGACGAAGCCTCCTGCAGTTATCGTAGCAAATTCAAACTGTGTTTATACAGAAGGATGAAAAATTAAAAGAAATTGAAAGAAAGCCCGATATAGTAGCTTAGGAAGGCTAATATTACGAATACTAAACATTCCAGTATAATAGAAGCAGCCAAAATCTGTGAAATACTTTTTGTAGCAGCTTTTTCAAGCATATCATTTTTTATTTATCCATCTATCCATCAATTCATCCATGCAATTTGTTCTGGTTATCCAGTTCAGGGTCACAGCAATCGGGTGAGATGTGCCAGTATGCTACAGATCATAGAGAGACAGACAACCATTCATACACACCTACAGCCAACAATTTAGAATCACTCATTAACCTGATGCCACACAGACTGTGGGAGGAAGCCAGAGTACCAAGACAAAACAGACGCAAAGAAACATGCAAGCCCCACACAGAAAGGCCCCAGACTGAATTAATTCATTGTTTTTTGTCTGTTTTTCTCTTCCAGTGCCAATAAAATGAGACAGCTCATTTTGACCACAACAAGCCAATCAGAACAAGTGAATGGAATGAAATAACTTCTAGCAACAAACATGCTGACCTTGTGTCTGCACAACAATTTTATTATAAGGAAGTACACCCCACTGTGTCCAATTTACACCCAATGTTTTGACCCCCTTAAATAAAAACTGGAACTGCATTTTGAAGGTCAATGCAGTGTCCTGCAATTTGGGGGTTTTCATCAATGTTTACTATTTGCAGAAAGCTGTATATTATTAATGTTCTGTGATAGCTATGATCTCCAAAATTAAAAGCAGAAACAACTGAACATAATTCACTGAAGAACAGAGTTCGAGCAGTAAATTGTTTTGTGGGTGGACTAATCTGCTAAACTACATAGCAGGAGGGAGTTGCAAAATTGTAGCAGTGAGAGTCAAAATGCTGCTGCTGGTGGAGATGTAGCAGGTAGAGACGTGTATGAGGTTCTCTAATTAGAGTCTGAAAGGCTAGTGACAGAACAGAGGATGAACAGTTCACAGAAGAAAAGCTAGAGAATGATCAGGCCTGAGGGTTTGCAGGACATGGGGCGACCATAAGGAATTAAGACGAGGAGATGCGATCATGATTTCTCTGAGTTATTAAAATTTACATGATCCTATAAGGATAGAAAGGAGAGTAAAGACTATGAACGCCCTGGCTGTTTCACAGTGGTCATCTCAAAGTAATAATTTCTGTATGAATCCAGGAAGAATGTCCCATCAGATCACCAGCTCAATTAATCCCAGAGGCACCCAAGGTTGGGATGTTTTTAACAGTGAAAGTGTGAAACTCTTCATCTAACCTGAAAACAGGAAGTAGAATGATTCGTCACAAAACTAAACATTTTCGAGAAAAGCACAACCCCCCCTACACACTGTTTCCCATGGAGTGGTGATTAGACTGGAAATCATTTTGAGGTTCCCATGGCTAAACTGACATCATTAGCTTCACTGCAGGCTGACTAATGAATAACTGCATCATTTTATGGGTAATTAATTGTGGCAACACAGCTGTACTATAAACAGATCCCAGCACATCCACACAAACACACTTTTCACATGAATCAAAGCACATCCACCTATCACAAAGAGATTTAAGATGTTTGTGACTGTTTGCCAGGACATTATCATGAAATTAATGATCCTGCATGTAAATTAGGTTAGCATTTCTTTCCTCCACAACTTAATGAATTACATAACAGCTGACATTCCAAACTATTTTTCATTGGCTAATATGACCAACAAGAAGATAGAGGCACACAGGAGAAGAACAACAAACACACTTTTAGTTGTTTGATTTATTTGTGGCTTGTTTATCAGAACAGAACAGAAATGCAAATGATGGTAAATACATACAGTTAATGCACTTGGATTTATTTAACACAAGCAGCTAAACCATTATTCTTATCACTGATTCTACAGTATCACACATTTTAACAGCAGCAGTTGGTGGATGGGATAATGTGATGAAATATAGCTTGACGTTTACTTAGAAGTGCAGAACAGTAGTAAACAGGACAGTTTCACTCTTGTAGTTGGTACAAACTGAGGTTTCAGATTTCATGTTCAGAGAAAATGCACTATATTCACTTCTTAATTTAAATTACTCCATCATTAGTCATAGATATCTTAATTTTTTACAGGTCAATACAAATAGTGCACTCAGACACTGGTTTGCCATGTTATGATGAAAGGCTGATCCACATAAACATCCTTTGAAGTCGCATCAATAATCAGCTCCTATAAGAAGAGGCAGAGAAAACAGAGGGCGACTTAATCCTTTCGTTCATTTAACGTGGCCTGTTCTTCGATATTTGTAAGTGAGCTGTATAATAATAATGATAATAATAATGCTCTTTAATTATTTACATTTAAATAGAGAAACCTACAGTGTTTAGATGTGTATGATAACAAAAATGAGCATCCCACAAATGCACTGACCTGGGATACAACGTTGTGCTCTGGGGTGAGATTATGTGCCACTCCAGCTACAGTCAGGGTAACCTCTGTGATCTTAGTACTGCCTGCACCCCAAACCTTCACGACGCCCAGCTTCAGCCGATCACCAATAGCAAGACCATTGTGGGTAACCTGACTGGACAAGGTGTTCTAAATGAGAGCATTGGAGACAAGGTGGAGGGTTAATGAAAACCAAATATATCCAGTGCAAATGATTACATATTTGATCTGTATCACTGATAAACAAAATAATAATAATAATAATAAATTCCACCAGCTATCAGTTTTACAGGATTGTGGTAATTGTATGACATGCTGGACAACAATCTGCACTGGAAGACACTTTAAGCCCTTTGGTGTATCTACAGATACTAAATCTACTCTGAGATCATGTCCAAGTTTTTCAGGTTTGTGAAAGAAATGCTTTGAGCTTGTCTGACTGCTAAACATGAACTTTTGCAGAAACTTTCCAACAAAACAGGTGGTGACTGCATTGTGGCTTTTATTGTTTTATTTAACTAAATGGTGTTGAGGAAGAAGAAACACAACATTTCACTCTCTTCTGACTAAACATGTTCATGTTAAGCCACAAAAATTTAAGCACAAAATACCTTTTCTCTTGAGTAAATTGAAAGCATCTACTGTGTTATTGATCTTTTACTATAATGGTCAGTTATCTGCTTTGACATAATTAAAACAATGTGTTAATATTATATCATTAAAGCACTAAAACATTTTTCTTTTCCCTTTTCTTTTCTATTTTTTAATACCGGTGTCAAAATATTTTCTAAAGTTAGAAATTTATCTGAAGAAAAACATATTTCAAACCACCAACTGCTAACAGTTAGCCTTTGACATCCACTTAATTTGGCCATTTTGAATGCTAAGGCGTGCATTTACAGTAATAATGACAATGAAAAAAACACAATACGTAGTTGTCTCTTGAACTCACCGACTGTGCTGAAAATGAGATCAGAAGATATTTGTTGGTCTCCACCGTGTCTGAGGAGAGAAAATACGAACATGAAAACAAAATAACTTACGGATACGTGACAACTTACGGATACATGAGAATTTGTGCCGATGAAGACTTGAGTTCATATTCATTTGACTAAATGGAGAAAATATAAAAATGATGTAACATAGTAATGACTCGCAAGCAGACGAGCCATAACATTAACAATTAAGTAAAATAAGTAGATAATTGGCTTAACGTATGCAGAGTAAATATACACATGGGTGAATAATTAATTGGTGGCGTGAATAAGTGAACATGGAACCGGTTGGATGAATGACACCATGACCAGGTAAGCAAGTAATGCATTGAGAGCAAAAGAAAATAAGACAGCTAAAAAATCACCATTTGTTATCAGGACTGGGGATTATAAAAGTAACTCTAAATTTTAATAGCAGTCCAAAGGAATGTTTGTTGAAGTATTTCAATTTAAGCAGACGGACTGACAAAGCAGCACTGCCTTTCATTAAAAGACAAACACAACAAAGAGCCGGCAAGATGTTTATCTACTGACTAACAGGATTACTAAAATGTTAAAATAAAATAGCATTGAGTTCTGTGTGTTTGTGTGTATATGCATGTGTGAATAATCACTCTATAAATACTTACATTAAATGTCAAACCCCATGCTATTCGGTGTGTTGGTAGGTGTTTAAGAGGGACCTTTCACTTACCAATTCCCTCGCCATCATCCCAGAATAAGGATCCTTCAGCGGTGCCGCTGTCACTCAGAGGGACGATCAGTCCTAGAGGATTCTTCCGGCTAAAAAAAAAAAAAAAAAGCGGAAATGTTTGTAGCAGATATCTAAAGGACAACGTCCGTTTAAACCTGATGCTGAGAACAAACAGGGGCCTGATCTCCTTACTGTTGGAAAATGATCACCCGAGTGTCCCACCTCTCATTCCCACTCACACTTAAAAACATTCAAACACACAGGTAATATGTGTTTCTTTCTCACTAACCGACAAACAAGCACACAGGTCCCGCTACACACAGGGTGCAGACCTGTAGCTAACTGTATGGGGCATAATGTGTGCTCACCTGTAGTATGTAGTGTTCTCAGGTTTCTGCCAGGGTAAGATGTATCCTCCTCTGATGTGCAGGTTAATATGGTCCAAGGGTGTCGGCATGTTAATCATTTGGCCACGCACTCCAACATCTCTGGCCTGATGAAAGAAATAATTGAATGCTATTAAAGTACTAGAGGCACAGGTAGAGTGTGAAGGCATCTTTTAATCAACATAATTATGCAAATGCCTTGATAACAAATATTTGCTTTTAAATGTTATTGCTATAGACAAATACTTACTGTGTGGTAGTCATACCAGCGTACGTTGGGAAGATAGCCATTCACTTTTGTGACTCCCTGAAATCAGTCACAAATAAAAATAATCA